ACGCATTGTTGTTATTGGACACACTTCTTTGGAGTCAAGTGTGCCTCTAAAATAACATTCTTCCTAATTTAATGTGACATGAATAGAGAAGAAGTCATTTTTAAACCCATTTTCCGTACCCACAATCTAAATAAAGCACTTGATACATTTAACACGACTAACTAAGCTATTATCTAAACAAAGCTCAAAGTGACAAAATGAAAAAAAGCTCCCAAAACTAAAACAAAAATAAACTTTTTATTTTGAACTCAAAACATGCTCTTACTACACATTAATTTAGAACTTAACTTTAAAAGCAAGTGCAAACTAAAAGAAAGATAATTTCCCACATAAACAAGATCATTCACTCAAAAAATAAAGACATGAAAGAGTCTTTCAACCCAAAGCCAATCATAAGACTATAAATCCTCAAAAAGACTTATAAGACTTTCAAATGAAACTACACATAAAGCTCTATATGAACAACCTACTAAAACTTTCCCAACACAAAACAAAATAATTCAAGTGCTTTATTTTAAATTTGGCGTGGAGTAAATCCATAAAGCTTTCCAACAATAAAGTTTTATAAAACCTCTCATTATAAAGCATTTGTGAAACTTAGCGTAAAGCCCTCTAATACAAAAACAAACAAATCTAGAGCGAAAAATAAATCATCTCAACATAAACAAATCAAGTCTTCTTCCAATAAAAGTAAGTTCTCAAGTTTGCAACACGATGTGAATCATGAAACCTCTCAACAAAAACAAAAAGAAATATTTTATAATGCTCTATAATCATAAAGAAACTCATAAGGCTTTCTAAAACACTTCAAATGGCATTAACCGATAATGGCGTATATAAAAAAATAATATCTCATACATAAATAGATGAAAACATGGTTCTACTTTATGAGAAGATGCTTGAAACTTACTTCAAAATAACTTGCATGAAGTATAAAGAGACAGTAATATGCTCAAAAGTTTCCAAATACTCATTGTCAATAATCGAATCCATAAAGTTTAACGGAAAGATCTCTATCAGAATAATAAGAAAGAAGCTCCATCCGCTTAATTTAACCATAAATGAGAAAAGTAAAATGATAACATCAATTTCTAAGATTTCAGGCTGAACTCTTTTCTAAGAAAAAAAAAGTATTAATCATTTATAATGGACAAACGACACATAACCAATAAGAGAAAAAAAAGAAAATGGTGCAACAACACAAACAACCAAATAGTTTTCCTATTTGAGAAATGCAACAACAACTATCCAAATTATCTTAAAATAAGACTTATAAACAAAATGCTTCAAGGCATTTCACCAAACAACATTCCAAAGTCCTTTAAAACTTTATAAAAGCATGACTGGCTAACATATATAAAGTCAAATACCACATCTCATCCATCACGTCTCATGTATTTATGCACAAACTATTAGCATGCGTAATGACTTTCTAAGGTCTAGTACGCAAGAGTTTAAACTCTAAGTTGAATTTGAGGTAGAAACAACCATGAAAAACTAGTAACTAGAAGAAATTATGAATAAGTTTTGTTAAGATATCACTGTATGCCAACCAGAGATCTAATATCAAAATTTATATCTATCTAGAGGTTCAAAAAAAAACATGAGTGAAGATGATAAATTATTTTTGCAAATATGGAACGAGTAATAGAGAACAAACTCTCTAATCAATTGCAAATCATACTATGATGAGAGTTTATAAATATTTTATACAAACTATCACCAACATTTGTTCTAAATAAACATGTTATAAAGCGAGAGATTTTCATCATTTTCTTTTAAAAGAAATCATAAAACATTATTATAAAAAACAAATCGATTTCGCTGAAGAAATTATGCGGAAAATAATTTCAGAAACACTTCATTTATATTGTACTTGAGACTAAAATCATTCAACCAATATTATCTTTTTTTTTTTTTAGAATGATTCTTTTCGCATTCAACTGGAATTATGTGTAAGAATACATTAATAGATTTTATTTTACTGATACTTAGACACAAAATACACAAGAGGTGATGCAGGGTTGATGTCATCAGAGCATGTTTCATTGAGTAAGAACCAAAACTTGATGAAAAGTATATAAGAGCCAATGTATAGCTTATGTCATCAGAGCATGATTGCTTGGTGTAAGAATCAAAACATTAGGAGTTATATGGAATGGAAAAGATAGAAAACGACAGACCCTTATTTTTTTTTTGAAGAAAACAACGGACATAGAGAAAAATAAGACAAGGATTAGATGAGGGAAGAAGGCACCTGCGAATGGAAATGAGAGGTTGGCGTATTGAGCGACTTCGGCACAGAGGCAAGGGAGCGATCGACTTCTCCTGGTGACTTCTCTGCTCGAATTGGACAGAGCAAAGGGGCACAACTTGTCCGTTTGATCCTGAATGGACATGGGCTAGGGCAGTTCAGATAGGGAGAGAGGAAGGATCCAGTAGGGAAGGTTTTTGTTCCACTTGTTTCTGCGAATCGAGGAAGAGATGGGAGCATGGGCTTCGGCCTCTTCTGAGATTTGCGAACTAGAGAAGACCGAGAGAGCAAGAGGGCTTATGCCAATTCCCCCAAGAGATCGAGAGCGGGCGAGGGCTGTAGTTTTGGAGGTGATCGATTAGTCCAGGCGTTGGGTTCGGCAAAGGGAGATCGGGGAGCTGCCGTCGGGTCCTGTGACTTCTCTGGGCTCACCGGAGTAACGAAAAGGGAAGAGCCGGATTTTAGGGTCATTCGAACCAGAGAAAGGCTGGAGGGGCTCGGTCGGGGTCCTCTACATGGGAGGACGGGAGGAGGATGAGGGGCTGGGCCTCGTCTGGATTCGCGAAACCGAGAGAGGAGGAAGGGGGGATCGGGATCCGCCTGGGCTGCTTCCGAACGAGAGCGAGAGAGAGAGAGAGAGAGGGAGTCGGTCAGAATGAGCCAACCGAAGGCTTTGTCCCAGCCTTCTAAAGCCTCCCGACGTTCTGCCTTGCTCGAAACACCAAAATGGCACTGCGATATTCAACTTCTCCCTAAAGTCATTCGAATCCACTGCTCGTTCGAGGGCTCACGCGACTGAGAGGTCAGACCGCGACATGTTTGGGAATTTGATCAAATCAAATCCGTTAATTACATTTCCTGATTTTGCAATTAAATTTAAAATTACTAAAAAGCAGCTTGAAATTTATTTAGAATTAATTTGGGCTGATTTGAGTTAGGCTTGGATGTGGATTTGATTCAAATTTGGTTTGATTTAGAATTTGGCTAGGTTCGATCGATTAGATTAAATCAAATTAACCTAAGTTGAAATCGATTTGGGATCAAATTGAATTTGTTGCAGTCAAAGCAAATTACTCGAGCTTGATTGAATAGGGTCGAGTTTAATTAATAATCAATTCAAATTGATTCGAGTTCGAATTGGGCTCGACGAGGACTAATCACATTGATCGAACAAAAATCGAGGTCAACAATAACAACAACATCAAGCCTTTGTCCCAGTACGTGGGGTCGGCAACATGAATTGTTTTTCGCCATTGTGTCCTGTTGAAAGTCAAATTCTCATTTAAATCTAATAAAGAAAGATCATTTCTAATATCAAGTCTTTTTAGGTCTACCTCTACCTTTCTTAATATAAGACAAATCTGATATCTCAACTTTCCTAGCCAGGTCATCTGAAGGCCTCTGTTTAATGTGACTAAACCATTTAAGGCGACTCTTTCTGATCTTATCTTCCACTAGAGCTACTCCAACCTTTTCACGTATATGATCATTTTGTTTCCTATCTCTAAGGGTAAAACACCTCATCCACATGAGCATCCTCATCTCTACAATACTTAACTTAGTGTTATTCCTGTCTTTTAATGGCCAATATTCGTTACCATAAAATTCTTCTCTTTTAATGGCCAACATTCGGCATCATAAAGCATTGCAGGTCTCACCACAATCTTATAGAATTTTTCCTTAAGTTTGAGGGGGACTTTTCTATCACACAACAAGCCCGATGCATTCCTCCACTTCAACCATCCAACTTGGATTGTGCTGATAATATCCCCATCTATTTCACCATCATTCTGAAGTCTGAACAATCGATCCAATATATCTAAAATGTGTCATCTTATTAATGACTAGATCGCCCAAAGTCACAATCCCCTCACTAGGTCTATTGCTACTAAAATTACGCTCAATATATTCAGTTTTATATCTACTCAAGCGAAAACCCTCAATAGGTCTATTATTTTTAGGTCTAATATCTCAACTTTCCTCACCTTTGCAACACTTAACTTAATTTTGTGTCTCTTTTAAATGCCAATATTATGCGCCATAAGGCATAAAGCATTATAGGTCTCGTTACCATCTTATAAAATTTTCCCTTAAGTTTAAACAACCATTATTATATTCTTTTCAAATAATTTTTCTCATTTTTGATATATATGACTTTCGGATCAAATTTATGATTTAAATTCCTAATATTTTCATTTAAGATTAGAATTTATAATATTTTATATAGATTTATAAACTTGTTTTATACTTAATTATTTTAGGAAATTGTTTCATAATTTGTTAAAAATGAAAAGAGTTGCAAATAAATAAAAAATACACCAAAAAAAAAAAATATATATATATTTTTATGATATTAAAAAAAAATATTTCATGTTAAAATATAAATAAAACAAAAAAATAAAAAAGATCAAAAATTACTTTTTAAAAAATTTTCATTTATCCAATTTTTGCATTAAGAAATAAAAATAACATGATTGAATAAAATCTCATATTCTAATTTTTGAATAAAATCTCATATATATATATATATATCCAAATTCTCAATTAAAGTTGCTCTTTTCTTATTCATTTAGAATTTATTTCCCCTTTAGCTCCATCTATATTCTCTTTATCACTTAAACAAAAACTTTAATAGATATATACATATTCAATTATGTATGCTATATATGCTTATGAATACAACCTAATATAATATGTGCAATAGATGTTCTTGTATGCAAGACATAACCCCATTTCTACGTAATAGGGGGAGGATTCACTCGTGAAGATTTCATGAATGAAGCATTTATACATATGACAGCTTCGGAGCAGGTTTGTGAGAACATTACTTGAATAATCATTATATACTTCATGGTTAGGGGCTGATTGTCCTTTTTTTTCTTAATGGTCTAAAGATAGATTTGTTTGCTGCGACACCAAGCAACATACCAGCGGAGAGCTTTGAAGTATATGGTGTGGCACTAGCTTTAGTAGCACAGGCCATTATTGGTAAAAAGGCGCATCTTATTAAAGATGCTGGCAATCTTTTTCAGCAACTCCAACAGACCAAAGTTACCTCTTTAGGTGCTAATTCTGAATACACCACCAAGGTAGACAGGGAGATAGACTTTGCACTTGAAAGGGGTCTCTGCTCACTGCTTTTGGGAGATCTTGATGAGTGTTACTCATGGTTGGGCATTGATGAGAAGAGTTCGCCTTATAGAAATCAGGATATTGTAGAATTCATCATGAGCAATTCGAACATTGGCAGTGATCATGATCCTCTACCTGGACTTTGCAAATTGTTAGAGACATGGCTCATTGAGGTTGTTTTCCCAAGATTTAGAGATACTCAAGGTATACAGTTTAGGCTCAAGGATTACTATGATGATCCAACAGTGCTGAGATATCTAGAAAAAATGGAAGGAGGTGGGGCTTCACCGTTAGCAGCAGCTGCTTCCATTGTAAAAATTGGGGCTGAAGCTACTGCTGCACTTGGTAATGTAAAATCAAGTGCACTTCATGCTCTGCAGAAAGTGTTTCCATTGACTAAGAGGGAAGGAAGAGGTAGCATTGAGGTCTCCACTGGCTTACATAGTTCTACATCTGAACTAGGAGTTGACGAGCCCAGGATGGATACCTATCAATATTTTAAAGAGAATGAGAACGAGGTTTTTGAAAAACCTAATTCTGAATATTCTAACGAGGAAGATTTTACATATATGATAAAGGAAGCAAGCATGAAGATAATGTGTGCTGGAATAGCTGTCGGCATACTGACTCTTGCTGGACTCAGGTACTTACCAAGGAGAAATGTGTCTTCTGATTCAATAAAGGAAGTTGGATCTGCAATGGCTGAAAATACAGTTCATACTGGTAATTTTTGAATATCCTGAACCTTTTTTTCATTTATTTGTTTGTCAAATGGTAAATTGGTAATACTTACCCATTGGAAAATTCTTCCTTCCGATGGAGTGAGTTTCTGCTGCTCAGTTATTTCATGTACAATGTGTTGTTCCTTATTATACTGGACGACTAATTTGTCTCACTGAAACGTAGACGTGATTTCAATTTTATTAACGATTGTTCAATTTTACTGTCCTCCATAAACATAAGTCTTTATCAACTGCTTGCTAATGTCAAGATCTTTTCTTCAAAAGCATCATAGACTTCTTATTAGCTGTTTACTATGATTCAATTTTTATAAATCTTATCAACAAGTTTTTTATCTTTTGTTCATGCATATTCTTTCGCTTTTCTTAATATTATCTTCCTTTTTCCCCCTTTCAAATATCAGTTTGGTAGGTGAGCGTTTGTACTATCCATAGTTCATTTACTAGGAAAGTCATGCCTATTGCTTTAGTTTTAATTACCTTTCCCTTCTAAGTGGCATCGTTAAACATGCAATTTCTTTTTCAATTATCAGTTAAGATATATTATGAATTATCTAAATTAACAACAATTTGCACCATTCTTTTAGATTTGATTGGTTTAGTTATAACATTGTTTCAACGCGTTAGTGAATATCATGGTCATTTTTTGTTTTCTGGAGGAGAAGATGCCTGCCCACTTCTATATCTTTTGTAAGTGAGAATTGAACTAGACAAAGAACTTGTGAAAAAAGTTTGGCTGATGCGTTTCAAATCAGTTGTAATAAGCTGTTCTGTGATAGAGTTTATCCAACCATGAGATTTTGGTGACTTTGGCACAGTGACGGGTCTCTTTTATGTGCTGCTCTGCAACCCTGGCCACGGCTGTGAAGTCTTGTTTTGGTTGGTTTCTCTTTGCTCAGGGGGTAGGAATACCCTTCTATAACATAGCAATATTACAATACCTCACTTTCCTTTACCGAAGTAGCTTATGTTGATTTGGAATTATTTCCAAATTGAAATAAGTTTTTATTTGAAAAACTTTTATTGGCTCATTATTGTAATTAATTAGGGAATAGATTATTTTTCTAATTAAGTTGATTTAATTGGAGATATGATTAGAGATTTGATTGATGCATTAATTAGGGATCTAATTATTGCATTAATTAGGGATTTGATTGGAGATTTAATTGATGCATTCATTAGGGGATTTGATTGGGTTTTTATTAGGATTAGATTAGGAAGCTTTTATGATATTCTGTCTCAAATCTATAGAGCCTGGGGGTTGCTGTTGAATGCAAGAGAGAAGAGAAAGCTTCAGAGGTATTGTAATTCTCTATTATTCTCAAATGTAGTGAAATCATCATCCTCTCCCTGTGGATGCAGCCATCTTCGCCGAGCCACATAAATCGTCGTTTTTATTGTATTTGTATTGTGTGAATTTTGTTTCCGCTGTGATTGGTTGCACAACAATTGGTATCAGAGCTAGATTTCGGCGGGATTTCGGTGGCGGCTTGGAGAGTTTGACGAAGGTTCTATCATCCATTTGGCATGAAGGTTATGTTTGTTCGTTGATGGAAGTAGAAAAGTTAGTCGGATTGGTGCAATTCTGGTATCGTGAGAAGGCTGCAATTTGGTAGAGGCTATGAGATCCGGTGGAGCCATGGATACATCCACCTCAACGGTGAAGGTGTCGATTCATTAAGTAGTTACACATCCCATCAAAATTGATGTGACGAAGTTTGATGGCAAAGGGAATTTTGGTATGTGGAGATGTGAGGTGATGGATGCGCTATGCTTTTTAAATCTAAAGAAAGTTTTGGAGAGCGATGGACATCCCGAGAAGATTTCAGAGAGAGATTGACTCAAGATGAACCGGAGTGCTTGTGGCTTGATCAGGAATTGTCTATCTCAAGAGATCAAGTATGTGGTGATGATGGAGACTTCTGCTGTGAAGTTGTGGAAAACTTTAGAGAACAAGTAACTAATGAGAGCATGGAGAATCAACTTCATATGAAGCGCCGGCTCTACAGGTTTCAAATGAGGCATGAGATTACAAGTGATGAGCTTTTGAATGACTTCACAAAGCTATTGACATATTTTTTGAATATGGATAAGGAGGTTAGAGATGAAGATAAGGCACTCCTTCTGTTAAATTCACTCTCGGATGAGTATGAAAACTTCACTATGACGCTCATTCATTGGAAGGAGGTCTTGAAATATGGTGAGGTGATTATAGCATTGCTGAATCATGAGTTTCGACATCGAGACAAGGAGTTTGCAAAGATGATTCAGCTGAGGCTCACACACTCGAACAAGAAAGATATGAGAAGAAGAAAAGGGGCGGCAACAAGCATGGTAGGTGTCGTGGGCACAGTCTTGGGAAGAGTCAGTGTGCTTTCTGCTTGAAGATTGGTTATTGGAAGAAAGATTGCCTGAAGTTGAAGGAGAAGGGAAAGAGAGTTTCCAATGAGGCTAATCTTAGTGTGGAAGAGCGTGACGAAGATTCAGATGTATCACTATTTGTAGTTTCTCAAAGTTTGTATTCAGATGGTTCATGCTAGGTTTTGGATACTAATGCTACCTATCACATTTGTCCCACTAGAGAGTAGTCTAGTACCTACAGAGAACTTGATAGTGGTGTTGTGATCATGAGAAATGATCAAGCTTGTCATACAATTGGTGTAGGGAGCATCTTCATCAGAATGCATGATAGTACTGTAAGAGAGCTAACTGATGTGAGACACATTTCAAATATCAGGAAGAATTTGCTTTCTGTTGGAGCTATAAAGACCAAGGGCTACAAGGTATTCATTAAGGCAAGAGTTCTAAAGATATATCATGGAACAGTGGTTTATTTGAAAGGAGTTCATCATTACAACCTTTACTACCTTCTGGTAAGAACAGTGATTGGATCGATTGTTGTTGCTGATGATTCTTCTGATTGAACTGCATTGTGGCATATGCGGCTGGCTTATGTCAGAGAAGCTTTTCTTATAGCTTTGGTGAAGCAAGGATTAATTAAAGGAGCATGTGCCTACAAGCTTGATCTTTGTAAATATTGTGTGTTTGGCAAGAAGACACGTGTATTCTTTTGTATTGTCATCCACAGTACAAGGGTATCTTAGAGTATGCTCACACAGATGTTTGGGGCCCAACGAAGATAACATCATTCAGCGGGCGGCAATACTGTCTCTTTTGTTGATGATTACTCCATATATATTTGGGTGTACACCATGAGGCGCAAGAGCAAAGTATTGGAGATTTTTAGAACTTGTAAGTGGATTGAGACTCAGACTGGCAAAAGGATCTGATATATCAAATCAGATAATGGGGGCGAATACACTTCGGATGCATTCTTACAGGAGTGCCAGAGATTTGGGATATAACATCACTTCACTATTAGAGAGCCGCCGCAGCAGAATGGGGTGGGAGAGAGGATGAACTAGACTTTAGTGGGGAAAGTTTGGTGTATGTTATCCAATGCTGGGTTGGATAGAGTCTATTGAGCTGAGGCAATAGACTATGTCGGTCATTTGGTGAGTCGTATGCCTTCTACAACTATTGGGAAGAAGATCCCAAAGGAGATGTGGTCAGAGCATCCTGCTAGAGATTATAACCACTTGAGAGTATTTGGGTGTCCAGTTTATTATCATTTTCAAAATGATAAATTGGAACTAAGGGCAAAGAAGGAAATATTTATTGGTTTTAGGCGTGGAGTTAAGGGCTTCAAACTCTATGACCCGACAGAGAAAAAGGTTGTCATTACCAGGGGTTTTACTTTCGATGAGACGAGCATGTTGAAGCCTAGAGACTCTAAGCAGGTGGAGAGTTCTATTAGGACTACATATGCACTGTAGAAGTTGGTGTTCGATGCAACTCCATTTGCTCCTCATAGGCATATCATTTCTACCCAGGTATCTAATTCAGCTGCAAATCAGGAGGTAGAAGATGATGTTGACTATAAGATTCATGTTTAGGAATTTATTAAGGACCAAACACTAGAATATTCTAAAGCCTGCTTGGTTGAAGGATCACATTGTATTTGCATTTTCAGTCATGGAGGCTGAAGTTCTTAGTCATTATAAGGAAGCAGTGGACAGTCTTGATAGTGATCTATGGAAGAGGGCTATGGATGAAGCGATGGAGTTTCTTCAGAAGGATGCTACTTGGAGCTTGGTGAAGCTTCCTCCAGGAAGAAAAGTGATAGGAAACACTTGGATTTCCAAGTGTTTCTCACCAAAACCAAGTAGATCCAATGTAAAATTGCTGTCCACAACAGAAAAACAACCAAAAACAGTAGGAAAGCAGGAAAAACTGCAGAAAAATCCGAGAAAAGACTTGTATTTCACTAGTAGTTGCAAGGAAATAGCAAAGATACAATTGATCCTCAATTCGAGAGGAGGATTGATCTCTCCCAAATCTCTAGACGCCGCTAGAGCCCAAAGAAATCCTAAATCTACGAGATCTCAAATTTCAGCCAAATTCAAGATCCTCAAACCCTAGGAAAATCTACTATTTAATGCATACAAATCAAAAGGAATTCCCTAAACAGTCCCTACATTCAAATTTCCCTCTTAACTCCCCAAAAATTCTTTCCTATTTAGCTCCCGCACACCATGCTGCTCGCTCGGCATCCCCGCGGGCGGACATTTTCCGCCTTGTTCGCGTATGAGCCGGTCCCGCCTGGTCCGGCTGGACCGGTCCAGTGGACCCAAACCCCTTAATACACAACAACCACTCCAAAGATGAAGTTTATTGGATGGACTACTT